ACAGAGAATCAAGGTTTTACAGAAACAGATGACAGCATCTGCCTTTACCAGGAAGCCTTTACCTTAAGCAGGGATAGCTTACATTTCACTGGAGCAGTGAAAACATTCTGTAGTTTAGTCTTGAACATTAAAGAGGCTACCCAAGCTGTCAGACCTATTTTGGAGTGATACAGTTCAGCATCTTGGATAGCTCCTTTAAAGTTCTGACTGCAACTCAAACACAATTACATGGGAGCCATCTATCACTAGTGACCTATGACATTTGGGTTCTTGATGTGAGATTTCCAAATTCTGTGCTCCCTCACTGGTGAACAATCCTCCTCTTCCTCCTCAATACAGGGTGCAGAATGTGTGGTTTTCCAAATATTGTCAAACTGAAATTCCCTTCATCCCTCACCACAGGCTGTGCTGGGCACAGCTGAGGAAAGCTGTAGTCAAATCAACATCTAGAGCAGTGCTTCTTTAATTATCTGCTGTAACCAGCATTTTTCCCCCAAAATGCCATTGACTGGTACGATATATATATTCACTGGCTAGCACTGTTTCTTTCTTTCCTGAAAATCCTGTGTGGATCAACAGGCAATAGTCCAAGCACCACCAATTTGAATAGTGCCGCCCTGGAAAACCACATGCCCACTGCTGCTGTTTCCTTGTCATCTAACACAGCAGCTTCACTGATTAACAGCAAGGCCAGGCAGCTCACTCACCCTCCTTTTCTCCCCTCTCTCGTATTCTGAGAGTTACAGCAACTGACTTGCTTTCATTTAACCTCTGCACACACTGCTTGTTCTTTTTCACTACCTTGCCCTCCCAGAGTCCTTTGGTGCTCTCAAAAATTTGCTCCACTTGAGAGGTGAACTCCTGGAAGTCAGTGATGACAAATTTCTTCCGGAAGGCCTGGGTCAACAGGACAATATTGCTGCTCACACACCTGACATAAAGAAGGTATGGGAGAGTGATGCATTTATGAATAGACCATAAGAGAAATCAATCAGAAGGCCTATTGGGAATCTCATCAGCACTGCCCACTTTTTAATGATCTTCATATGTCTTTGTCCTGAAAGCCAGCTAACTTCACTACATCAGCCAACATAAGTTTTGCATTTTCACACACTCTCTGATTCTATGAAGATCTCTGGAAGAGGCAGCAAGCTTGCTGCCAGCTTTTAAAAAAGTAGATGGTTTATCTTCAGCTCTAGCTACCTCTGTTGTTTTTTTGACAGATAAACCCTCGGTAACTTCTAACTTCCTCATTGAGTGAACTCCAGGGCTAAAAGAAAATACCAGAGGAGTCTTCTTTTGCAATAAAATATTTCCAGTAAAGTGAGGTATAGAATAGTAAGTAGTCTCCTCAATTCCCCTGCCCCAAAAAAGAAGCCAGAAATTTCTCCAAATTTCTGGGGGATTACTTTTAAATTTTTGAAGGTACAAGTATTGGCAATGGTCATGCACTTATTATTAGTGAGGAGCCACAAACATTAGAGCTGCATGACTAGGAATAAGATAAAGATGAACAAGATGGCATAGAGCAGAGGACTGGTAAGTTCATTTGAAGGAAGGCATCTAATGCTACCGATCAAAAGGCACTGCATAGTTATTCCATCCTTTCCTTAACATTTTTTTCTCATTAGAAAAGAATGGAATAAGCAGCGGGAAAACATTGGAAGATTATAATTGGAAGATGACATTGCCAGAACCCCCACTAAAATCCTGGATGTAATCAAGTCTATTATAGGAGGAGGGTAAAAAAACTTGTCTAAAGGAATACAGGTATCATTGGACAAATGGCATGATAATGGGGACAGGAGGCTGTTCTTGCCTGCAAATGTTTGTATCTATAACAAGAACGGAGAAAGTGTGCTTCTTTGTTTGTGTCTCAAGAGTTCAAGACCATAAAATGTAAACACCTGAAACTTGACATACATAGTACAGAACCCTTGCAGGTGCACCTTTGAAAAGGATAAAGTAATGTTAGGCAATTTAAATCTATCTGTGGCTACTAGGGGACAAATATCCTAAGCAGAGGTATAGCTACAGGGACAGGGGGAACTCTGCTCC